TAGTGACTTTCGCAAAATTATGTCAAATCCCCAAACTTTGCGAATTCCTAGCAGTGAAAGTTAAATGGTTTTTAAACAATAATATTATTACCATTGTTATTAATATTATTATTTTTATTGCAGTTCATTGGACAATATATGTTAGAAATGGTGGAAATATGAAAATAATAGTGTTGATTATATTTGCACAGCTGTCTTCAATCATCAGTAAAATGAGCCAGAACGGCTTACACTGCCAAGACTTATGCGGAATTATTATTTTTTGTGTGATCTTGGTACAGAAATCGACAGAAACTCACAGAATACTTGTGAATTTCTGTTTTTGAGTGAAATAACCTTAGTGATAGAAAAATGGTAAATAATGTATTCCCAACATAGAAAATAGAAAATTTTATTTTTTACATTTACTGAATTCACCACGAGGAAAGACAAACAATTATTGCGAAACATCTAGTGCACAAATAATAAAAATATAAATAAATAAAATATAAATAAATAAATAAATAAATCTTTTCAACCTTATCGTGTTTTCCCTCGGAAGTCACTGTCAAAGTGACGAATATCAGTGCGGATATTAACACCTTCATGATATACATTCATGAAGAGATGGAACAACGACAACAACTCGTCTACCGCATGTTCTGGGACCTACACTGTCTAGATTGCTATAGCACGGTTGATACAGCGGTGGGATACCTCCGAAGCCTAAAACGAGACTGAATTCGAATTTAAGTAGGGTAAGAGGTTATAGCGACATGCCAAGATGGCGATTTGTACTACTTGTTGTGTAGTAACCATAATGAGAGAACCCATGATGATAGACGTTTGCCGTTTGGTACAAGAGATGTAACACCGGCCCCCAGACTAAACAAGTATTCTCCGAACTCTAGTCGATCACTCGAACCAGTCTCATACGGAACCAACAAATGTAAAAGACCTCAACAAACTAAAGAAAATAAATCAAATTTAACTTACCATTCGAGCTTTTTATAAAACTGTTCCAAAATCAACCATTTTGACTCTGAGTAACCTATGGGTGCGCCTCTTTCCAAGAAATCCATTCTGTTATTTCCGATGACGTAAAAACGTGGACATAAATATTTAGTATATTTGCCACAGAGGGCGCACTTTGCATCGAGGTAGTCTGTGACGTTTTATTTGAGTCATGGGACTATTATGTGAAATATTTCGTGTCCTGAATTTGCGCGAATTACAAAAAATGTGGACTGCAATGATTTTCAACGCGCATATGCATATTTCACATATGCTCTCAAGTTACAACTACAGATAATTACTGTGCATGGACAATTGGGCAAATACTTTTTGGATTTATTTATTAAAACTCGACCTTTCTCATCATTTGAACTTTTCAAAACATTTAAAAATTCTTGCCTTCATGAAATTCGCTGTAATATCGCTATGCTGAGTTAAATTAAATTTGTCATGAAATAAAAAAATATGTCTATGTCATATATTTATTTACACAATAAATTTTGTCTTGTACGACAGTCTTTAGTTACTAGTATAGCGAATGCTCAATTACAAACTGGTTGTAAAAACTGCAAACAAATACAAACTAATAAAGATGCACCATTCTTTTAAAAAAAAAAAGTTACTTCTACCAAGTTCACCTTTAAAGCGCGTTGCAGAATAAAACTGAGCATTGTAATTTCAAAACCTCAATTTCATAACACACTAACGTCAAAACTGGTATACCTAGAACGAATTGAAATCAAACATTAGTGCTGCGAGATAAATTTTCACCCTTGCTTCAAAAACCGATAATTTAAAAACAAAAACCCTATATCAGATCCAATATAACGGTTTGCAACTACTAAATACAATTAGTAAATAATCTATTTTATAAAAAAATCAAATTCATGTAATATATGTAATGTCCAATCTAAACATGCAAGTTGTTGATTATAAACAATACAGCAACGGTGTATGAACCAAAAGCGCGTACGTGATGTGCACAAAATGAACATGTTGGGTAGTCCTCTTAGGCGAGAATAGATTAGCACCTACTGGTTGCATGGAGGTAAAATGCATTTTACAATCATGTATCTAGTAAGAACCTCATAGTTTCATCTCGGGTTTTCGTTACTCGTTGGCGCTAAAGCAAGGTGACTTGAAATATAGAAATATGAAATACAGTGTCACATCCCACTTATGTCACAGAAGTATTTTGCCGCTAGAGGGCGATATTTGATGTGACGTGTTTTTTTTCAACGTATAATTACCAAACGCTTCAGCGTGGTATTAAGAGTTTGTTTTCAGGGGTGGGTGATACCAAGATGGAAAATGGATGCACATATGGGGTTAATTCCTTGAATGGCAATATAGAGGGTCCAGGCTGAAATACAATAAATAGTGTTTTCATGTTTCGTCTGATATTTCTGTGGTATTCTGCTGCTGTAAGTAATGCACGATTTGTTCCGAAATTCAGTATGCTGTGTGCATTTCAGGGTTATTCGTTTTTTGCTGGTTTTTGCATTTTACGCAGGAGTAATTGGGAGTAGAATATGTGAGGGATAGTATCAACAGAGATGTGTATAGTGAAAAGTAATATTTATCCTTCTTTTGCATCTCTGAGCATTTCTGTTTTTGTATATTAGATGGAAAATCTTGAACTTGCATGATTTGCAATGTGTTTTTTTACTGATCGAATCCCTTTTGCATCTCTGAGCATTTCTGTTTTTGTATATTGGTTTGAAAATCTTGAACTTGCATGATTTGCAATGTGTTTTTTTACTGATCGAATCCCGGGTTTGAACGAGAACGGCACACCACGTGACTCGTTTGAATACAATGCTGAAGGCAAACATGCCGTGCTACAGCGGTACTCCACTGACGGGATGACTTACTAGTACTGCATGCTACAACTTCGCTTGTGATGTTGCCTGTTAGCCATGGATTAAATGAATCTTGATTACCAGTTAAAATGTTGCTCATTTGGCGTTGGTAATCTTTATTTGGAACTGGGTAACGCCGCAACGTC